ATAATGGCATATTGGTGACTGTTGTATTCTGCTACCTTTCCTTTCCCCTACTATCCCCCCTCCCCTCCCCTCCCATCATCCCTCTCTACCTCATCTGCTGTTGTTCAATTCTCTCCCTTGTTTGCCCCCCCTTTCCCCTCACATCCTCTTCTATGTAATTTTGTGTAACATTGAGGGTCTCCCACCATTTCCATATGCTTTCCCTTCTCTCTCCCTTTCTCTCCCCCCCCCCCGTCTTTGTTTAATGTTAATCTTTTCCTCATGCTCTTCCTCGCTGTTCTGTACTTAGTTGCTCTCTTTATATCAAAGAAGACATTTGGCATTTGTTTTTTAAGGATTGGCTAGCTTCGCTTAGCATAATCTGCTCTAATGCCATCCATTTCCCTGCAAATTCTATGATTTTGTCATTTTTTATTGCTGCGTAGTACTCCATTGTGTATAGATGCCACATTTTTTTTAATCCATTCATCTATTGAAGGGCATCTAGGTTGGTTCCACAGTCTAGCTATTGTGAATTGTGCTGCTATGATCATTGATGTGGCAGTATCCCTATAGTATGCTCTTTTAAGATCCTCAGGGAATAGTCCGAGGAGGGCGACAGCTGGGTCAAATGGTGGTTCCATTCCCAGCTTTCCCAGGTATCTCCATACTGCTTTCCAAATTGGCCTTACCAATTTGCAGTCCCACCAGCAGTGTACAAGTGTACCCTTTTCCCCACATCCTCGCCAACACTTATTGTTGTTTGACTTCATAATGGCTGCCAATCTTACTGGAGTGAGATGGTATCTTAGGGTGGTTTTGATTTGCATTTCTCTGACTGCTAGAGATGGTGAGCATCTTTTCACGTACTTGTTGATTGTTTGTATGTCCTCCTCTGAGAAGTGTCTGTTCAGGTCCTTGGCCCATTTGTTGATTGGGTTATTTGTTATCTTATTGTTTAATTTTTTGAGTTCTTTGTATATTCTGGATATTAGGGCTCTATCTGAAGTGTGAGGGGTAAAAATTTGTTCCCAGGATGTAGGCTCTCTATTTATCTCTCTTATTGTTTCTCTTGCTGAGAAAAAACTTTTTAGTTTAAGTAAGTCCCATTTATTTATTCTTGTTATTAACTCTTGGGCTATGGGCGTCCTATTAAGGAATTTGGAGCCTGACCCCACAGTATGTAGATCGTAGCCAACTTTTTCTTCTATCAGATGCAGTGTCTCTGATTCGATATTTAGCTCCTTGATCCATTCTGAGTTAACTTTTGTGCATGGCGAGAGAAAGGGATTCAGTTTCATTTTGTTGCATATGGATTTCCAATTTTCCCAGCACCATTTGTTGAAGATGCTATCCTTCCTCCATTGCATGCTTTTAGCCCCTTTACCAAATATAAGAAAATTGTAATTTTGTGGATTGGTTTCTGTGTCCTCTATTCTGTACCATTGGTCCACCTGCCTGTTTTGGTACCAGTACCATGCTGTTTTTGTTACTATTGCTTTGTAGTACAGTTTGAACTCTGGTATCGCTATACCTCCAGATTCACACTTCCTGCTTAGAATTGCTTTTGCTATTCTGGGTCTTTTGTTTTTCCATATGAATTTCATGATTGCTTTATCTATTTCTACAAGAAATGCCATTGGGATTTTAATTGGCATCGCATTGAACCTGTAAAGAACTTTGGGTAATATCGCCATTTTGATGATGTTAGTTCTGCCTATCCATGAACAGGGTACATTTTTCCATCTTCTAAGATCTTCTTCTAACTCTCTCTTTAGGATTCTGTAGTTTTCATTGTATAAATCTTTCACCTCTTTTGTTAGGTTGATTCCCAAGTATTTTATTTTCTTTGAGGATATTGTGAATGGAGTGGTTTTCCTCATTTCCATTTCAGAAGTTTTGTTGTTGATATACAGGAATGCCTTTGATTTATGCATGTTGATTTTATATCCTGCCACTTTGCTGAATTCATTTATTAGCTCTAGCAGTTTCTTTGTAGACCCTTTTGGGTCTGTTAAATATATTATCATGTCATCCGCAAATAGCGATAATTTAAGTTCTTCTTTTCCTATTTTTATGCCTTTAATTTCTTTTGTCTGTCTAATTGCTCTGGCTAGTATTTCAAGAACTAAATTGAATAGAAGTGGTGATAGAGGGCATCCCTGTCTTGTTCCAGATTTTAGAGGGAATGCCTTCAGTTTTTCTCCATTTAGGATGATGCTAGCCTGAGGTTTAGCATATATAGCTTTTACAATGTTGAGGTAAGTTCCTGTTATCCCTAGTTTTTCTAGTGTTTTGAACATAAAGGGATGCTGTACTTTGTCAAATGCTTTTTCTGCATCTATCGAGATGATCATATGTTTCTTGTCTTTAAGTATATTGATGTGGTGAATAGCATTTATTGATTTCCGTATATTGAACCAGCCTTGCATCCCGGGGATGAATCCTACTTGATCATGGTGCACAATTTTTTTGATATGCTTTTGTATTCGATTCGCCAGGATTTTATTGAGAATTTTTGCATCCAAGTTCATTAGAGATATTGGTCTGTAGTTTTCTTTCTTTGAAGTGTCTTTGTCTGGTTTCGGGATCAGGGTGATGTTGGCCTCATAGAATGAATTTGGAAGAGCTCCTTCTTTTTCTATTTCTTGAAATATCTTGAAAAGTATTGGTATTAATTCTTCTTTGAAGGTTTTGTAAAACTCTGCTGTATACCCATCCGGTCCAGGGCTTTTTTTTGGTTGGTAGTCTTTTGATGGCTTCTTCAATTTCTTCCTTTGTTATTGGTCTGTTTAAATTGTGTGTGTCTTCCTGACTCAATCTGGGCAGATTGTATGACTTAAGAAATTTATCGATATCTTCACTATCTTCTATTTTATTGGAATATAGGAATATAGGGTTTCAAAATACTTTCTAATTATCTTCTGTATTTCTGTAGTGTCTGTTGTGATATTGCCTTTTTCATCCCGTATGTTAGTAATTTGAGTTCTCTCTCTTCTTCTCTTCATTAGCATGGCTAAGGGCCTGTCGATCTTATTTATTTTTTCAAAGAACCAACTTTTAGTTTTTTCAATTTTTTCAATGATTTTTTTTGTTTCAATTTCATTGATTTCTGCTCTAATTTTAATTATTTCTTGTCTTCTACTACATTTGCTATTATTTTTCTCTTCCTTTTCTAGGTTTTTGAGGTGTAGTGTGAGTTCATTTATTTGTTGTTTTTTTCTTTTTTTGAGGAAAGGACTCCAAGAAATGAATTGCCCTCTTAAAACTGCTTTCATTGTGTCCCATAGATTCCGGTATGTTGTGTCTGTATTGTCATTTGTCTCTATGAATTTTTTTATCTCCTCCTTTATGTCTTCTGTAACCCATTGATCATTCAGTAACATATTGTTCATTTTCCATGTGATGTAGGATTTTTCCTTCCTTCTTTTATCATTGATTTCCAGTTTCATTCCATTATGATCAGATATGGTGCATGGTATTATCTCCATGCCTTTATATTTACTAAGAGTTGCCCTATGGCATAGTATATGGTCTATCTTTGAGTAAGATCCATGTGCTGCTGAGAAGAACGTGTATCCACTTGATGATGGTTGATATATTCTATATATGTCAGTTAAGTCTAGGTTATTGATTGTGCTATTGAGTTCAATAGTTTCTTTATTCAGCTTTTGTCTAGAGGATCTGTCTAATGGTGAGAGCGGTGTGTTGAAGTCACCCATAATTATTGTGTTGTAGTCTATTTGACTCTTGAACTTGAGGAGAGTTTGTTTTATGAACGTTGCAGCTCCATTGTTTGGTGCATACAAATTGATAATTGTTATGTCTTGTTGGTGGATGGTTCCTTTTAACAGTATATAGTGTCCTTCTTCATCCCTTTTGATTAACTTAGGTTTGAAGTTGATTTTATTCGATATGAGTATGGCCACTCCTGCTTGCTTCCGAGGGCCATGTGAGTGGTATGATTTTTCCCAACCTTTTACCTTCAGCCTGTGTGTGTCTTTTCCTATCATATGATGGAGACCCTCATTGTTATACAAAATACATGTATGAAGATGTGAGAAAAAAAAGAATAGCATTACCCTAGATTAGGTTGAGAGAAGTGATGGGAGGGGAGGGGAGGGTTTGGGGAGATAGGAAGGATAGTAGAATGAAACAGACATTATTATTACTGTGTGTATATATGTGACTACATGCCCAATGTGATTCTGCAACCTTTGTACTCAGAAAAATGAGATATTATATCCCATCTGATTCAAATGTAAAAAGAAAATAAAAATAAAACAAAATGCAATACAGATTTAAAAAACAGAAAGTAGGAGGGATGGGAAAGGAGTAGTATAGTAGAATGAAATTAACCAAACTATATCATGTGCATGTATGAACATGATTTCTGTAAATACTGAATGAGGTTCAAAATACATGATATGGTTAGAATAGTGGCTAACAACATAATAAATACTGCATAAAGGTCAGCATAGTAGTTAACATGAACATAAACCCTATAACCAGAATATCTGGATCCTTACCAGATGTGTGATACTTGCCAGATGTGTGATTTTAGGCAAATTATTAACCTTTGTATGCCTCAGTTGCCTCACATACAAAATGGATAAAATTCATACCTACTTCATAGGATCATTATGAGAAATAAATAAGTTAATACTTGTAAATCTCTTAGAACAGTCCCTGATACATGGTAAGTACTGCAAAAGTATTTCCTTTCTTTATTAAAAATATTATTGGAAGCAGCTGAAATCAACTTCATATTGTTTTTTCTTGTTTCCATAGATCAGAGATAAAGAATGTTATCTTTGCAAATTATGAAGCTGTGCAGGCAAACCACACAAAAGTCAAAAAGCACAAGTCTGTCCCTCATGTATCAAACTCTTCTTTTCCTTCTCTCCCCATAAAATAAAGCACTCCAGCTTGTTCCAAAATGACCTTGGGATATATGTATCTAGATGTACAGAAAAAAAATGCAATATCCTTGAGTCCAAAGGTAGGAGGCACCCACTCACCTTTGACATACACATATACACTGGCCTTGCCATTAGAATCCTTGGTGTCAGCAACATCTTTGTAACTACATGTGAAGTAGCCAGTGTCACCAGCTTCTGTGTGGAAGATAGTGAGTTGGTTACAAGTGAAAAGGTGGTTATCAGAACAGGGATATTCCAAGATGCGGGTCCGACTCCCTGCAGGTCCAATGCCCCAGGTCCAGGTCATGGCAGCCAATCCTCTGAGAAAACAATGCAAAAAATAAATAAACAAACAAATTAATTAAGAAAGCAAGCCATACTAAAGCAGGTCTGGGAGAGACAATGCAGAAGTAGCCATACTTCAGGCCCCTAATTCTGAAGATTTAACTGTAGCAGATAGCTTGATGCACATGAAAGAATTGGCAACTGAAATTGGGATACTTAGTTATGGGCTAGATGAGAATCTGAAAAGCAGGTAAGATTCAAAGACATGTCAAGTCTTTGTCTCTATATTCCACTGCAGTTCCTCTTCTCCCAAATATTCAGCCAGCTTTCTCCCCACTAGGGGTGCTTTGAAATTTTGGGAAAACAACTTACAAAGGTGTAAGAAAATATTACATTAAGTCATTTCTTATGTCCTTTCTGTCTCTACTGTTTCCACTTGGCAAATAAGCTCACGAAGGCAAAATGCCTTATCCAAGAAGTTGCTGATAGGACCAACAATGTGTAAGCTAGATCCCAGTGTAGATTTTTTTTTCCACATTTATTTTCTCTTTAAATTTTAAAATCTCTTCTGGGAAATGATTTGAACTCTGAAAAGATATGCACCTGGATGACATTCTCTGCATTCTGTGAGAAAGCACCGGGGACAAAGTTAAATTTAATTCCATTACAATTATTCCACATGCAGGCAAAATGAATGGAATCTATCTCCTTCTCCTAATGTTATGGTTGAGGATATTGGGTGTCCCCCAAAGTCCCATGTGCGAAAAAAAATGCAAAACATTTAGAAGCAAAATGATTGGGTTACAAGAGCCTTAACACAATTAGTGAACCCTAACCTTAACCCTAACCCCTGATAGGAATTTACTGAGTAGTAACTGAAGGCAGGTGCAGTGTATCTGGAAGGTGTGGATCATTGGGGGTGTACCTTTGGGAATATATTTTGTCTTTGTTGAGCAGAGTTCTCTCTTTGCTTCCCAGAGCCATTTCTTGAGCTGCTTTCCCCTATGACACCCTGCCACCATGAAGTTCTGCCTTACCTCAAGCCCCAAAGAATGGAGTCAGCCATCTATAAACTAAGACCTCTGAAACCATGAGCCCCCAAATAAATTTTGCTTTCTCTAACTGTTCTTGTCAGGTCTTTCAGTAATAGCAATGAAAAAGCTGACTAAAACACCCAACAAGGATAATTCTCACCTGCCTTGCCATTTGTACAGCAAAAACAACCATTGTAAAAAACAAAAAAGTTGGAAGGGAAAAGAACCTGGATATTGATTCTCAGTATTATTGCTGTTTAATTACATAATCTTGACTAGTTACTTAAGCTTATGTTGCTTATCTGTAAAACAGCAGCTGTAATTCTCCTCTCCCACTGAAGGTGTGAAGATTCATCCAGAAACCTTTGAAAAGTTTTATCAATGGAAGGAAAACACATGTGTGGGAGGCAGTGGGAGTGGGGTAAGCTTGAGCCAAACTTGATTCCAGTTCTCCAAAGATAGACACATTTCCCCATATCATATCATAGCATCTGTAGTATGCACATATTTGTTTAACCACTGTTTATCATGGCTCCTAATTTTACTACAGTACCCCAAAAGTAGAACATGAAAGAATGTGAGAGACAACCACTCACCTCAAGCACCTTCTACAAATGCAATATACTTTCATTATTTTGAAAAGATGATATGTTGCCATGAGTGTGATTCAGACTGTTGAAAATGGGGATTGTTATATAATGCCATGAGAAAGAAAGATCAAGAGAGGGATTGGTAGGGCTGGAGATGTGGCTCAAGTGGTAACGCGCTTGCCTGGCATGCGCAGGGCACTGGGTTCGATCCTCACATAAAAATAAAATGAAGATGTTGTATCCACTGAAGACTAAAAAAATAAATATTAAAAATCTCTCTCTCTCTCTCTCTCTCTCTCTCTCTCTCTCTCTCTCTCTCTCTTTAAAAAAAAAGATAGGGATTGGTTAAAAAGCAACATTGCAAATTTTGCTCCCAAGAATCTTGTACCCTGAAGCTTCCACTGTAATTGGAAAGAAATGAATTTGAGTAATAGTTCCTCAGTCTGACCCCTATTTCTTCTTTCCACTAAAGTCTTACTTCCAATAGAAGCATGGCTTCTTTAAGGTATGTTTTGCCCAATTATGGGGTCTTTGAATAAATTGAATGCCCTCAGAACCAAGCATCCTAAGAGAAATCATTCCAAACCCACTATGAGGGTCTGAATTGTATAACCTCAAAATTCACATTTTGAAGCCCTATCCCCCAACACATCAGAATGTTACTGCATTCAGAGGTAAATCTTTTAAAAGGTGATTAAGTTAAAATGAGTTCATTGTTGTGAATTCTAATCCAACATGACTGGTGTCCTTATAAGAAGAGAAGATTAGGACACACAGAAACATCAGGGATGTGTGCACACACAAAAGAGAAAGAGAAAGGGCGGGCATCTGGAAGCCAATGAGTAAGAACTCAGGGGAAACCAATCTTGCTAACGCTTTATCTTAAACTTCTAGCCTCCAGTTCTATGAGGAAATAAATTTCTGGCCTTGAAGTCACCCAATCTGTGGTATTTTGTCATGACAACACTAGAGAACTAATACACTCCCTGAAGTAGTCAGAGCTGCCATATTAAGTAAACATTATTGTTGATCCTTGAATTCCATGAGAACTTGTTCCCAGTGTTGCCATTTCCTGATTCCTTCTTGCCTTACCTGACTGGAGTCTGAAAACTGACATTTAGAGCCAACAGAAGATACTACTCTTCTGGATTTCATCCCTGTATGTGCAGTATCTCTAACTGCTCTTAGTAATGCCCAAGTCCAACCCAAACTAGTTTGTGAAATCCTCACACATGAACAGACCACATTATTTGTCCTGTACTTGGACACAAAGAATTAGAGCAGCAGACAGAATCTTGGGTTCATGGATAGGCAAAGTTTTCCTTAAAGTGCCACATAAATATTTTAGTTTGTGAAAGTCTCTATCACAAATTGTACATTTTTATAACGATTTAACAATTCAAAAATCATTATTAGCTTACAGAGCCCACAAAAATTGGCTGTGTGTTCTATGATTTGCTTGGCCCAAAATCAATCAATTCAAGCCCCTATTTTATGCTTGAATTCCTACCACAGAATTCCAACTTCAGTTTCAATACCTATTTTAAGGAGAATTTGAGAAACTTACACCACTATCTTTCCCCTCAAGGTGTATCATTATATCCCAATGAAATCTCTGATAATTTTGGCATCATCATAAAGAATAACTTTGTTATTAATGGATGAAGTTCCATTTCCTATGAAAAGAATCTATTGTAATATGACATACCATAAAAATCAAGCATAAGTTAGACATGCATTAAATTAGAAGATTTATTGAAAATGGGGCACATGAATAATTATTTATAGTAGTGTGGAGGGGTGGCCAGAATATGAGGATCTTTAGGAAGAGCATCACTTGATAGGAGAGTTAAAAAAAAAAGGCCTTGGGTTTATAGACCAGGGAGTGGAAAGGAAGAATTTGGCTGAGAGTGTCCATATGCCATGCCTCTGATTTAGGACCATTATCAATTCCCATCACGTAGGTTCTGCCAATCACCTTCCTGGATATTTGGTTGATTTTGAGTGGAAACTTCTACAAATATTAAAGGAAGAATACTATAATACAGTCTGGGTTCTGAAGACTCAGATAGCCAATTCATGTGCCTGAGCCTGAACAGCTGGAAGCGTGGAATGATTAGGATTCCATTCCCAATAACATTCTGTGGAGTCTAAAAGCTTGGGCTTTATCAAAGTATGGCTTATTTACCTTATCTACCTTGTATAAGATGTTGAATTAGCCTATCAGACAAAAGGTTTGCATTATATAGTTTGAGAACTTGAGCAATTTGCAAAAGGAAACACTACTAAGTCTACCTGAATAGTGACACAACCCCAACACACACACACACACACACACAAAAAAAAAAAAAAACATGAAAAAATCCCAGCTGGGCAAAATGTAAGCTCAGCCTACTTCATAGAATTTCCAAGCCTCAGAAAGTATGGAGGGTTGCTGGTACATTGGCACGATTGAAAAGCCATTGGGAGTCAGGGAATTCTACCATTTGAAATCTTAAATGTCTTCTCTTTAGGCCTTGGTTTCCTCATTTGTAGAGTTGATAGAACGTACCTGACAGAGTTATTATGACAATTTAATGAGCTGATTCATGCAAAGTGCTTAGAACAATGTCTGGCACAGACTGAAGTACCCCCAAAATGGTAATCATTATGATTATCAACATTATCAGTCATGAAAATCATCTTTTAAACTTATTACTGTCTCACACTCCACTTCTCCATAATAAAATACTGTAGGCTCTATATTCAAAATATATTAAGAACCTGACCTCTTCTTTTCCCCTCCACTGTTGGCCCACTTCATTTATCTCATAGATAACTAAAGTAACCTTCTATTTCCCCTGTGAACTATATCCGCTGTAACAGTCAGAATAAACTTTTTAAAGAATGTATCAGATCAAATCATTCTTCTTCTTAATTCTTTCAATGGCTTCCCATGATATCCAGAATAAATTCAAAAACCTCCTTATGGTCTACAAGACCCTGCTAACTGTCCAATCTAATCTATCTTTCTCCCCATCACTTAATTATTTTCTCTTCATGCCATATTTTATTCTATTCCTTGACATATCAAAATTACACCTTTGTATAGATCTTTTCATTTTTTCTATGCCTTCTGTCTGGAACCCTCTTCCTCCAGATACCTGCATGGTTCCTTCTTTTACTTCTTTATGCCTCTGCTCAAATGGCATTTCTAATCTGACCAAGCATTTCAAAGAAATAACTTCTCTTCATTCCACCACCTTGTCTTGCTACTATCTCAACTGCACTTACCATCTTCAAATATACCCTACAACTTCTTATTTATTATATATATTATCTGTCTTTATCATTGGGATTTCAGGTCCATGAGAGCAGAGATCTTTATACTATACATTATCACATCTTCTGGACTTAGTCCAGTCTTAAATAAATATATATTGAGTAAATACATGAAGATAACCATCCCTGCTTCGATTCCATGGGACTGATGTGGGTCTAAATATATCAAGCACTTGAAACTTTTATGAAAGATGTATAGTCCAACTTCTAAGACTTATTTGAGGTTATTCCTTTTTCTAAAATATCCTCCATTCCAAATATATCCTGAAACTTCCAATTGAGAGTTCTTATTCCTTTCAATTCCTATTCTCTATGATTATAAAATAATTTTTTAAATTTGTAGTAGGAACAAAACCATGTTTCTGTAAACTTCCTACATGGGTATTTTAATTACAACAAAATGAAAGTCTTGATATTATTACCTGCAAGTAATGTCAAATACTCCACCAGCCTGGATCACCACTTGATCTCCCAAAATGTTCAGTTTTGGTTTCATCAGGGTCTCTTCACTCGCAAGACCTGAACCAAAATAAAATTTCTTGCCATTAGAACTTTTCAAAATTTGTCTTCAAATACATCCAAATATCATTGCACATGTACAAACTTATGTGTATATGATGCCAATTACTACAATTTCTATAACAGCAAATAATTAGAAACTACCAAATGCCCATAGAAAGGGGATTGATTAAATTATACTATATGAACATGGTGGGCTACAATATCTGTAGAATGGTAATAAATAATTTTTATATACCAATAAAGGACAGTCTCCAAAATAATTCAAATGAAAAGCAAAATATAAATCAGTGTGTATAGTATATAATATTTCTGCAAAATAAGAAAATAAATTAATTCACATGTACATATAACTTAAAAGCACATGAAATTCGATACAGTTGGTTGTCTCAAAGCAGGGAAACTAGGAGGATAGGTAATATAATGGCACTTTTCAGTGTGATTACCTGTGGTAGACTGAATTGTTTGCAATTATTGTTCAGAACTACCCATGAGAGTGAAAAGTATCTAATTAACAGCCTCATTGATGTTGAATTTGAATATGCCAATTAATTTTAACCATTTAAATAGGGAAATGACAGTACTTCAGTTTTGGTGTGAGGTTTGAGAAATTTCACATTTATGTTTAATTTATTCATCTTACTCTGTTATGGAAAGAACTTGACCTAGTTAGGTTGGTATTTTAAGGAGAATTTGAGATAATTGGAGCATTTGGTTCAGAGGCTGGAACCAAATCTAATGGAATTCAGATTGAATCATCACAACCCCAGAGTTGCATAAGTAAGATGCAAATGTTTGTTTCACCACTATATCAGGGATTGAACCCAGTGCCCCTCACACGTGCTAGGCAAGTACTCTACCACTGATCTACACTCCCAGTTCATAAATATTTAATATGCAATACAGACAATGGAGTTCTTAAAAATAACTTTATTAAGTATAATTGAAATACAACAAACTGCAAAAATTTAGTGTAAATTTTGATCATTTAAACATATATGTACACACATAGGAAACTCTCACCACTATGGAGATAGTGAATATATTCATCACCCAAAAAATTTTCCTACAGATTTTCATGTTTATATTTTTCTACAAAGTGCCCCATTTGTAACCCATCTATTCCTGCTCCCAGATCTGCTTTCTTTCAATATAGATCCTTTTGAAATTTCTACAACTTCAAATAAATTTAGTTATACAATATATACTCTTTTATGCCTAGTTTCAATAACTCAGAATAATTATTTTGAAATGCAGGCATGTCATAGCATCTATCAATAATTAATTGCTTCTTATTTCATAGCAGTATTCCATTGGTTGGATATATCACATTATGTTTAGAGATTCATTTGTAGGTGGACATCTGAATTGTTTCAAGTTTGGACTACTGTGAATAAAGCTGCTATGAATATTCATGTCTTTGTGTGGAAATATATCATCACTTACCTTAGATAAACACACAATAGTGGAATGATCACATGATCCACATTATAAGTCTACCTGTATTTATTTAGCTTTTTAAGCACCTGACATTTTTCTGAAGTAGTTGTACCATTTTGCATTCCCATCATCAAAGAAGGAGAGTTCCAGTTGACTTCATATTCTTACAAATATTCAATATGGCCTTTTTCTTGGCAGTGCTGAGAATTAAACCTGGTGGCCTCTCATATGTTAGACAAGAGTTCTAGCACTGAGCCACAACCCCTATCTGGTATTATAGAGTCTGTTACATTTAAACCAAACTAATGAGTATGTTGAGGTATTTTATTGTGGTTTTGATTCGTATTTTCCAAGTTACTAAGAGTTGCATGTAAGTTGATGTGCTTTTTCATCATTTCTTTTGAGAAATGTATGTACAAATCTTTTGCCCCTTTTGTGGGATTTAAAAAAAATTTTTTTTGAGTTGCAAGAGTTATTTGGAAACTCTGAATAGAATTCATTTGTTTAATATATGTGATGCTTGCTCTGGGTTTTGGACTGGTTTGTTCCACAATATTTTGGGGAATATAGGTGACCTATAAAATACATTTAGATAAACTTTCGATTATATACCATGATAATAAATCTCCTATTAAAAATAAATAAGCCAAGAAACAAATATTTATCGTCAATCATTTCAAGTGTAATGAAACTAATATTGGGGAACTATTAAATATGCTAATAGTTACACTTGCTCACTAGATCACCACAACAACCCTGTCAGTAGATGCAAGTATGATCCTTCATCCTGAAAATCAGAAAACTGATGCTAAAAATATAAAAACTGAGGCTTATAATCAACCTTTGTTCTATCTACCACTCACTTCGTTATACAGAATACAGGTATGATGATGTGAGGGGAAAAAAAAAAGAAGTATGTCACATTAGACTGGGTAGAGAGAAGTGATGGGAGGGGAGGGGAGGGGAAGGGGGAAAGGAAGGACAGCAGAATAAAATAGACATTATTATTGCTGTATGAATATACATGACTGTATAACCAATGTGATTCTGCAACCTGTACACTCAAAAAATGAGAAATTATACCCCATCTGATTCAAATGTATGATATGTCAAGATCATTGTACTGTCATGTGTAACTAATTAAAACAAATTTTTAAAAAATGGAAATAAATAAATGAATAAATAAATAAATAAAATAAGCATGTACTATTTCTTAGTAAGTTTTGCTGTTGGCATCTGTAGAGTTTGGCTCATCTTTTTTCCCACATCCAGTGTTAATGGCCTCGTGCCAAATCATCCAAGCAGGTTGCTAAAACTTAATTGTATTCAGATATGGTATTAATTCACATTACATTGCATATCAATGTTCTCCAGAATATTTTTTCTCTTTGTGTTGTTTTCACATATTTTAAGGTGCAGTGTGATAATATCATACATATATTCAATGTTTGATGATCTAATCAGGATAATTATATTTCCATCTCCTTAAACATTTATAATTTATTTTTGCTGAGAACCTTTGAACTCCTCATTTCTTTATTCAAGTTACAATAATAATTAACTGCTACTTTCCCTGAGGCTCCCCAGCAACAAACTATGATACCATAATTATAGGTCTTATTTCATTCTGCCTCATGGGAAAATACCATGTTTCCTTTGTTTGACTCTCTCAGAGATTGAGAGCAATGTCATGTTGGAAGCTGTTTTTATTCTTCACTTTACTCCCTACTTTAAAATATCCAACAGAGTCTGTCCCATGACCAACTCAAGGTATGAACCATGTAACAGGATAGATGATATAAGTGCAACAGATGTCTCAGATATGGTCATTGCACTCTGTCTACTGATAAAACCACATGTCAACAAGTGATTTTATTGAATTTGTTAAAGTACTACAAAAGGTATGAAAAAGAGGTCTGGGAGCTGGACAGGGAGTGGTCAATTCCATAAATGTTCAGTAAATAAATAAGTGATGTATTTTGAACAATTTAATAATTCATCCCATCTAATACAGAATTTGAGAACACAGACTGTGAAGACAGATAATCTAGCTTTATGACTCATTTCCATCACATGTCACCTCTTTGCAATCATCTCATATATATAATGGAAATAAAGTAGAAACTATCACATATATTTCTGGTTAAGGTTTTAAAGAAAAATTTTGCTCCATTTGTGTAGTATGAATTGAAATGCATTCTGCTGTCATGTATAACAAATTAGAACAAATAAATAGAATGATTATTTTTAAAGGATTTCAAAGGTTAATACATCAAGAACACTATTTGTCCAGTAAGTATTATATTATTATTACTGGACAAATAATAAAAACTTTAAAAATATATTATTATTATTATTATTATTATTATAAAATAGCAGTATTTCCCTTGATTTTCTGCCTCAGTATCTATAACTTCTACCATTAGCATCACTACTCAGAGCTAAAGATGTGCCTCTTGAACTTGGATTCTCCCTGGGAATAGTGTGTATACGAGAGACTGGGAAGCAGTTTCATGACTCTTAGAGCTCTTATGTTCAGTATAAAATTGTATATCAGTACAGCTGTCAGTTTTGAAACTACAATTCTTCAATAACACTGTTAATGGTCACCAGCTCCCATTTTGTGAAGGAATTTGTCTTGTCTAGTTGAAGAATTTCTATCAAATGATGAGCCAGGTATGCCTGGAACATGATCTCTTATATGCAAGGAAGACTTTACCACAAAAGTGCAAGCACACATACACATGCACATACTCACACATATACTTTCAAATATATATATATATATATATATATATATATATATAGAGAGAGAGAGAGAGAGAGAGAGAGAGAGAGAGTTTTCACTAGTATTATCTCTAAGCTCCATGGAACAGAAGAAGGATTGCTTCTCATATTTTACTTATTGCTGTCCATTTTGCCAGGCACATTAAATTTACATTGTTATAAGTTAATTATCATCTCCATGAAAAAAATATTGATTGCACTTTGCTTTTGAAACATAAGGCTTAGATGTGACCATGCCTACAACATGTTAGAGGAAATACTTAGAACAAAGTAGATTCAAAACTAAAATATCTGGCTCTGATGAGGTTCATTTTCAGCTATATTAAAATCACCCTTCTTAGCCATCCCATGAATCCACTGCATAAAGTAGAGAAAAAGTGGGAGAAGAAATGGACATGCCTCTCTAAGTTTAGGGGTGATAGCCCCTAAGCCCCATTAACTTATCCTCCTTTGCTGGTTCCTAGCTCTTTCTCAATTCATCTTGAGCTTGCTTGTGTTTTATGGACTTTTGACTTGTTGACTGAATTTGTTTTTCTTAGAGATGATGTAGGAGCCTTCTCAGGAAGTAGTGCATAAAAGAGTTGGGAGTTGTCTTGTTATAGCAGAATATTTTCAAATTCAATGTGAATAACAAACACTGAGAGTTCAGCACATGCAAAAAGGCTACATAGAGCATAGTGTGTGTTCCCTCTCTCCAATTATGTTAGTCTTTAACAAGAGCAACAGTCTAGTTTGGACAAAGACAAAATAATGAAAATGCACCTGAAATTTAG